GGGGGATCGCTTGTCCCAGCAGCTTCGTCCGTGGACTGTCCCATCATCTTGGCAAAGTTGGCAACCCCTTGTACTGCCTGCGACTCTGGCAGCTGGGTCGGTCAAGGAGGAGGTGTATTCTTGCGCAGCTCTAAAGTGTCCTTCAAAGCCACCTGACCCTTCTGGAGCTCCGCAATCTGTCTAGTTCCATTTATACACCTTCTCTGGATATGGGATCCCGCGCCCCAAACAGTAGACCTTGGCCTCAGCCTTGGATTGGACGCAAACCCGCTATTGCCACTGGAGAAATCCCCCAAGAGGGATCGGTAGTCAGCGGCCTTCTCACAGACCACTGGCTCGGTGATGCCCTCCGCACGGACAACGACGTAGGTGGTATTGGCCAAGTCGCAAGGAGATGATAGCCTTGGCTTTCCAACCCGGCCTTCCAGCACGAAGCGGCCCCAATATCCAGCAGTCCAGGCTCGCGCACAGCCCTCTGCTTGGAAGAAAGCTTGCCCCCACGAAGATTTGCACAAAGGCGTAGAGCCTCACCTCACCAGAGATCTCTGGAATCCCCCTGCCAAGGAGTTATAGGTCGATGAACTCGAGTTTGTCCGCGCCGGACTTGATGCACGGGGTTGACCAACTCAAAGATATTCACTGGGCCGTGATGGCGACCACGCTCTAGCTCACCCACTTTCCTCTCCAAGATGTCCACCCTCAGTAGCAGCTGCTGAACTTGCAGCCAAGGAGGCCCAAACGAAAGGCCAGGATGAAGGCTAGAGCAAAGCCAAGGAAAAGGCCAACGCCGAGAGCAAGGACCAAGGAGGAGAGAGTGGGGCTTCCACACTGTAGTGGACAGGCGAGCCCCACCAGTTGGTCTCGATCCCTGACCTCAAAAAGTCAAGCGCGGCCCCCACACAGAAGGCTGCAGGCATGAGAGCTTGAGAGCGGCGAAAGACACTTGCTCATGCTCCTCAAGTGCCAATTGCATTTGCTGATTGTATGTTGCATGTGCAGAGTGCAGAGTCTTTCTGGAACGTCTCAAATTGATCAATACAATCTACGGAAGAAACCTTCAAAAAATTAGGAATCCTAGCTCTTGCGGTGACCTTACACCTTAGGCTCACGATCACTGCAGCTGCATATGATCGAATCTTTAACACTACATTGTCATAACATATGCTCAAATGGTTTAAGTTGTTTCTGGTGTACCTAAAAGACTTGAACTCTCAAAGTTGAGCCGAAGTGATTCTGCAGCTTAGGCATGCAAGCACTCCATGTGTTCGAATGAATCAAACAGGGGAAGCTATTCATTGGGTTTGCCTGCTTTGCCTTTCTTTGACATGACTCTGGTTGAGCTTCTGGCATGTCAGTCATTTGCCAGACCAAATTCCGCAGCCCCTGAAAACTCTCTTGAAACGTGTTTCAATAGAAGAACACCTGACAGTAAATACCCCTGAATTCTTTAAAAAGGTAGACTGTGACCGCGTGTGTATTCTTCGCCTTTCCGATTATGCACTAGCATGTAAGCTACATCTAATAGATACAAGTATTTTGAGGTGCTAGTGAAAACGGTACAGTATGTGTATATATATATATGTGTGTGTGTACTGTAAACAAATATATATATATATATACATGCCGTGTGGGTCCAATCCGCGACACAACACTCCAGTGAGGGCCATATGGCATCAGATCCTGCAAAACGACGGAGAAGGGCAGGAAGCAGGGAAAGATAAGTCCTCCGCCGGTAAGTGAGAGAGGTGGCGGCTTATTGGCAATTCCTTCAACATTGATGGTTCCAATTCGTTTCCTGCATCGTTCGATCTCTATCCCTTGTTGCACTGTCTGAAGGCTGACCTGAGGCCTTGGCCGGAGAAATATCCGCTTTTGGGCTCACGGGAGGAGAGAGACAGTTCCACAAGTGCTCTGCGATGCTCTGTATCAGAATAGTTCTGAATACTGCTCACAGTCACGTGGGTTGTTTCTGTGTGCTTGTGCTTGAAGCTGGACCTTTAGATTTCTGCTGTTGCTTTTGACGCTCAACTGTTCTTTTCAAAAAAAAGTGAACACCTGAAGCCTGTACTTCCAGCATTTCGAGCGCTATCAAGGCAATTTGTTGCAACTTGCTTTGAGGAAACAGAAACCCGTCTTAACCCTTCTTGCGAGACCGAGAAAGTCACCAGTCACAGGGTGCTGTCCCTCAGAGTTGTGGTTGAGCGCAACGGGCTGGCTTGTCGAATCCAATTGGTCCAACAGGCTCTGTTTGCACAAGTGAGTTCCCTCACGCCTAGTCGCAGGAGAAGAGGCAGGCTTCGATTTTGGACTCACAAGGCACACATCAGTAATGCCCTTGTTACTAGTAAGTAGCGCGAAAGACATGGTATATAACAAGCTTTATTGTTACTAGTAGCGATGGCCTCCAACCCAATAGCGATGGCCTCCACCTAGTAGCTTCTTGTTACTGGTAGCGATGGCCTCCAACCTACTTGCGATGGCCTCCACCTAATAGCGTCCTTGCTACTACGAAAGATGCTTGCAAATGAGAAACGATGTGTCTGCTTTTGGCAGGTTATCTCTCAAGGGCGGTGTCACTCTCCCTCTCAGGCCTAGCTGCTCGAGTCCGCTCCTCCTGGCAGAGGAGAGCAAGTACCGCTTCACCCTCCACCGCACTGGCCCTACGATGTGTCAGCCCTCAGAAAACTGTCCTCAGCAAAGTTCTTCACCAAGCTACGGACATCAGCCTTCCACTGGAAACCTCGCAGGACTCTTCCACAAGTTCGCAATACTATGGTTCACTGACATCTGTCTTCGATCTGCAACAATTGAGACTAGCCCACACATGGTACCGGCTTGATGCCAGCTCGACACAAAGCATGATCTTTGATAGTTTGAATAGCAAAATGACCCTCAGAACTGCTAGAGCAGCTGTTGCCAAGCGACTTCTCCTTTGATCCACCTCATCATCATCATCCTCTTCGTCAGAGTCTTGGGACTTGTAGGCCCTGACAAGTACTACTTGAAACGTGTTCAAGATTGGGATTGCTCACCCGTTTCGCTTTCTTGCGCCTTGCAGCGGCGACATGAGCTCTAGGGTCACTGCTGCGAGAACGGGGCAACGATCCGGCCTAGCGAATGCGGTGACTTGTCACATCATACATGCACTAGAAACGTTGGAATGTTCCTTTGGCTGAATCCTTCTGAAGCCTGGTCTGATCTCCAAAATCTGGTTAGAAACCCCTCTAAACGGATCTGATTCACAGGCAAAGCATCCGGCCGGCGCCATGGCGGCCACAGCATCAGTCCTAGTTTCACACAGCTGCGGCTTTACTGCGAGACCCACAGCTTGATAACAAACCACCTAAGTGCGTATGTGCCAAAAAGGACTCTGGAGAGGCAGTGCTCCAGGGAGCTCACATTGTCTCAGGGGTCCTGGTGTCGCTGCTTCGGGCCCGTGGGTGGGCGCTGTGCCTCAGCCAGAATCTGTGATGGGTGACTTACAGTAAGTACCAAACAACGTGCTCGGCTTCGCACGGCCCTGGGTCAGGCATCTGCTTCACAAGGCCAGCTGCTCCCTGGAAAAGGGAAGAGGAATCAGAATCATTTTTTTGGAAAAGGACAGGACCTCACCTCAAGAAACTTTACAGTATATATAGTTTAAGTCAATAAGACTCGGAAAGTTGTGGTTTTCTTCACCAAAGGCAGGTTGACCCATCTCCACCTCCTCTAGGCCCAAATCACGTTTCACTTGGGCAACATAATCTGCCGCTGAGTCCTGCAACTGTCGCACGCGACTCACACCACTAGATGCCGAGAATGTAGGCTCCTCTGCAGCGGCTGTACTTCTGTTTTTCCTCAGGGCCCAACCAAAAACCAAGAAATTGCGCAATTGACATACAACCCTGACACGTAAAGCATAAAACAGCGCACCTCTCTTGCACATATGCTCTGCTTCATATCGGTTTTTATGCAACTGGCAATTGAACCGTTTGGATGCATTTTCTGACTAATTCGTGCTTCAACTAACTGTACACTGATTGCGCGCTTCGTGTGGGTTGTGACTGGCCCCTGGTCAGCAACACTTTTCATTACTGGGCCGCAACTTTTGCCAGCAGGAAAGCAAGACAGTCCAACAGGAAGTTGGGTTGAACATGGTTGAACCATTCCCCTGACCTTTTTCGGAAGATCTGACAAGTCCGGCAGGTCTGCCACCATAACCCCGTGGCTATCCAACGCCACGGCTGCGAAGTTGCTCTCACTGATCCCCATCTCGCGACCGTGCCATGTCTGTAGGCTAATCCCAAGTTGCCCCAGTCGATGGCCTTCCTGCATGTTTAGGTAGACGGAGTGGTTTGCCCCGGCAACAACATGCACAGGGCTAGAAAAGCGTCTGCTGTCCAGTCTCTCCCGCTGTTCGTCTTTCGGGAGCAAACATCAATGTGGCATCCAAAAAAAGGGATCAGCTGCGAAAAATACCCTCAGATGCTGATTGGGGGAAGGGCACTTCAAACCGGACAAACGCAAGAAAAGAACGAACGACAAACACTAACAAACCTCAAACATGGAGCCCGCCATGCCGTCTAAGCCGAAAGTGTAACGCGAGCGTCGAGTCACGAGGCCGAAAACGCAATCACACGAACGAAACTGTCCCAGCACCCCCCGGTCGTCGGGAAGGTTTGCTTTCGGGGTAAAATGGAGCTCCCTGCGGGGGCTGGGCGATCTGCTCGACATTCTTCGGAAGGGCACCATTATCTTTCCACTTTGGGCGGAGAGCGGCAGGCGGCAGACCCTGCTCCGTGTTGCCAACAGCACAGCAGGATCAGCGGGCGGTGATCAGGTCTGCTGGCACACGCTCTCTCGGGAGGCCAGGGCGTTGCCGACTGCACAGGTGTTGCCCACACGGGAGAGGTCTGCTTGGGCTTGTGAGTGTGCTGATTAATGCGAAAAGAACTGGAGTTTAAGTAGGAATTTGTTGACTGGGTTGGATCCAGTTTGACGTTTGGTGTCCATGTTCTTCGGCCGACAATGCTTTCTGGCTTGAGCATGACCTGTATGCTGGATGAATGTTGAGTCATGTGCCATGTTACCACTTTTTGCGCGGAGACCACTCTCGGCTCCAGGCTCCAGATTGACAACCTCGGTCTTGTGGCTTTGTCGCAAGCGCTTTGCCGAGAGTGCCCTGTTCACAAATACGCTAGGCCATGGCATCCTACTTGAGCTCTGACCCCTTGCAGGATGTAAAGGTGATACAATATTGTCTGAGGGCCCCTTCTTGTTCTTCATGCTCTGCGTCTTCATCCGACCTTGGCCATTTAACGACAGGGACAGGCAGGTGCAATGAAGGCAAGTTCGGCTTCAGTCATCTGCCTGACAAGTTGATGAAGCCTCCGCTCAAAACAAACATTGCGGTGATTGCATCCAGAATTTGCCACCATGATTATAGATCGTCAGATGATATACATATCCGTAAGTAAAATGTTGGCTGGGGCCTTTTCTTCCCTTGCTCGAGCACCATACATCTCACCGCACCCAAGCTAACAAAAATCCAAAGGCCTCAGTACTTGCACAGCTCATGTCCACAATTTGAGCCTCATGTTCTCGTGCTCTGGACTTAGGCCTCCTCCGCTGGAACACGCCACTTGGCCAGAAAGTTGTCTTTGTCATTGTCCTTCCAAAGTGAGCGGGTCCAACCCTTCCTTTGAAGAAAAGAAACTCTATATCTATATATACATGGCCACAAGCAACCAAAGACGCAGTGTGCTGCTTGAAACTCGAATTCGGTCCTTGATACGGCACCAAGTGCAGTGAAGGAAGAAGGCAATGGCGGGGTAAAGCATGATGTAACGATTGAAGTCCTCGTGGGACTTGTCCAGCATGCCACCGTAATAGCTTGTGTCAATGTAGTACCTCCAGCGGTTCTTGGTTGGATCAATGTGCATTTCAGGCATGCCAATCAAGCACATCTTCTGGTAGTCCCAATTGAAGTACAGCCAACGGATCCAGTGGCGCCCGGGGAATCTGCGTAACCACACAATGCTGGAGCGCAACCACAAATACACTGGGCCACCTTTGTAGGGTGACATCACGGTCTCCTCACAGCGGCCATAGACAGCCGGATACGTGGGTGTCACCCCGCTCGGCTCTACAGTCTTGGGCACCTGCGCCGCGAAGCGGCACAGGGTAGGCCGAGTCAGGCGGAGGCTCCGCAACAAAGTCATGGCGGTTGCTGGTCAAAGGCGTGTTGAGCCAACCGCTGAGACCGCTGCAGGGACAAAGTCACATGCCCACGCAGGGACATGCACTTGCCATCCAACATCCCACTGAACACTGAATCACATACCTACCAAAGTGAACGACCATTCTTGCTGGCTATCTGGCTAGGCTTTTGGCCCAGGAGGCATTATGAAGCTTTCTTCGTCCATCTCCGGGGTCTCCTCTCCCTGGCAGCTTTTTTCAAGCAAGTTGCAGCTCCTAAAACTGAGCTCAGCCAGCACGGGAAACGTGTGACAACCCCAAGACACACAATTGTAGGCTGTCTATCCATCTATCTGAACATCTCATCCCCGATTTGGAAGACGTGCCTCAACTGAAGCGTCACCCTGGCGAGATGAGTGACCAAGTGAATCAAGCAAGCTGAAGCTTTCCAGGCTGAGCTGCCCTCGCCTGGTCAGTGAGCTTCTTGACCAGGTCAAAAGCCGAGGGTCCGCAGCGCGGCTTCACTGCAGGTTGCGCCTCAATTTACTAGGATGGTTCCGTCTCCGGTCGAGGCCTTTGTCTGCTACTGCTCCTGCACTTGGAAAAGGGCGTTCTGTAGCTGTCACCAGGGAAACTGCCACATGGACCCAGCCGCTCAACTGAAACATGTGGGTTGCAGTGCCGGCACTGTGGTGAGGCTTTTGATCGAGTGGCTCAAAAAAGAACATGGCCTGATCAAAGCTCACCATGCCAAATTTTCGTTGTGTTACGATTGTTGTTGGAGTAGGGTGAGTAGAGTAGAGTGCACAGCCTGGATTTGAATCGCCTTCCGCCCAGTCCCTGCAAACATGCACAAGTTCTTGGTACGCTGCAGAGGGGCTAGTTGGCTTCACCCTTGCTTGATGCAAACCTTGGACCAAACGCAGTTCGCACTGAGGTTCTCACAACTATGATAGAGGATGGTAGAGGCATTTTTTGGGAGACAGAAGCACGGAGGGAGAAGAAAGAAGCAAGCACGTAGCACGAGTTCCACCAAGGTGACACGACTTTGGTCGGTCGGATGTAAGGAAACTAAATGGAACTGTGAGCTCCTTTGAGCTACCTTGGGCCTTTTGATATTCGCACAGCACGGCTGCCACAGATTCTTGGACCTCAACTTCTTGGTACCCGACCTGCATAGCCGGCGGCTCTACCATGACCTCCTCCGCTCTTGCTCTTTGGCCTGCGCCATCAAGCCCCATCGCTGCATTTTCGCAGAGTGCTGCATCCTTTGACTGGTATGGCGTATGACCGTATGACCTTTCTTGGGTGACAAGCCCTTCCACCATCTTCTCAACCAGCTCCCGCATACCCTTGCCTTGCCACCTGTCTCACAATAGTGGCACGAATCCCAAATGTCCTTCTTTTACTATTATGGCTTCCGTGTCCGGGCCCACAAGAGACCAGAAGCTGGCATCAAGCATTGTCCCAGTTCACGTTGCGGCGACTGAGTTTTCCGGCTGAACTGCAGGCCGTACAACAGGTTTCTGGCTTTGGCGGCCAGGAGTGCTCATCACCTGTCCGGTGCAACAGGTTTCTTCGGCTCAATTGTTGAAGGTGCCACCCTCATTTGGCAGAGCACCTCACCAGGAGGCATGGTTCCGCCTGGCATCTCTGAAGGTATGTTTATCATTTATTGGCGGCTCAGTGGGGTGGAAAACAAACATATATATATATAACTACCACTTCGCCTCCCTACACCTACACACAGCACAGGTGTTCCTGCATTTCACTCAGGTCGGGACATCAACATCCAATGCCGAGAAGGAATTACAAAATGAACGAAAACAAGGAAGGAAGAGAACTAGACGACGGATGGCCCAGGGGCGTGGAAGGAAAGGTCACGTAGAAGCGAGGAACGTTTTATAGCTGCAATTGCATGTGTGCGACAAGGTGCTACACGTACACGTGCACACGCACGTTTCTAGAGTTGCTGCTATGGATGTCGCACGCTGAGATTCGTGGACGCCGCCAATCACCCTTCGCCGCTCCCCAGCGACACGCCGAATTTACACCAGCATGTTTTCCTGCCCCCAAAAGCCGGAACTCACGCAAACGCACTTCACCATGGCCGCACAAAACCGCATGGCACATCACAAACGGAATTTGGCAACATATTTTGTTTTAACCCATTCAACTCGTGACGTGCGTCACAAACCATACAGGTTAAGCCGTGGCCCCCCATTCAGGACACGTCACGTTTTTCCCATTCATCTACGACTGTAATATACACACTTTAGCAACCTCCACCTTCGTTTTCGACGACAGCTACACAGCTTGGCAACCTCCTCCTTCGTTTTCGGCGATGCCACACGCTTGGGCAACCTCCACCTCCGTCTTTGACAGCAGTAACACACTTTGGCAACCCCCCACCCCCGTTTTCAACGACAGATACACAATTTTCCAACGTCCAGCTTGCGGCACCATGTGCGACAACAGTTCTACACTTTGGCATCTGCCACCTGCCACCGCCACTTTCAACGAGCACACACTTCGGCAACCAATTTTGCATTTCACCACACGTTTGAGCGCTCGACACGCACGATCTCCGCAGAAGGTTCATCCGCCCCACCCAGAACTTGCACTTCGCCACACGATCTCCGCAGAGGGGTGCCTCCGGCCAAGCTGAATTTGCATTTCACGACACATTTAAGCACTCGACACGCGCGATCTCCGCAGAGGGTCACGTTTCGCAAGCTCTGTCCGGCCAGGCCCCCGGCTAAGAAAGACGGGATAAGTAGCCGAGACATATCACGCAAGCGCGAACAAACACATGCTTTACTCTATGTTGTAACATATGTTGACTTTTGCATTTGTGTTTACCAGACCCCAGCCACAAAAAAAACAAGATGGAGCCCACGAAAACGAATGCAAACACGTTCGAAAAGCTACATATGCCCAAATGACACTCTTGTAGGACACTCTTAAGGGACACTCTTGTAGGGCACTCTTGTGGGACACTCTTGTGGGACACTCTTGTACAGGAAACTCTTGTGGGTCACTCTTGTAGGACACTCTTTGTGGAACACTCTTGTAGGACACTCTTGTGGGACACTCTTGTAGGACACTGACTCTTGTGGGTATCACCCTTGTAGGAAGCTCTTGCGTGACACTCTTGTAGGAAACTCTTGTGGGACACTCTTGTAGGACACTCCTGTGGGACATCCTTAACACTCTTGTGGTGTGGGACACTCTAATAGGACACTCTGGTTGGTCACTCTATCTGGGGCACTCTTGTAGGACACTCTTGTGGGACACTCTAATAGGACACTCTTGTGGGCCACTCTTATGGGACACTCTCTTGTGAGACACTCTTGTAGGACACTCTTGTGGGTCACTCTTATGGGACACTCTTGTCGGACATTCTTGTGGGACACTCTTGTGAGACACTCTTGTAGGACACTCTTGTGGGTCACTCTTACAGGACACTCTTGTGGGACACTCTTGTGGGACACTCTTGTAGGACACTCTCGTAGGGCACTCTCGTGGGACACTCTTGTGGGACACTCTTGTGTGACACTCTTGTAGGAAACTCTTGTGGGGCACTCTTGTAGGACACTCTTGTGGGCCATACTTATAGGACACTCTTGTGGGACACTCTTGTGGGACACTCTTGTAGGACACTCTCGTGGGTCACTCTTGTAGGAAACTCTTGTGGAACACTCTTACAGGACACTCTTGTGGAACACTCTTACAGGACACTCTTCTAGGACACTCTTTCGGGACACTCTTGTAAGACACTCTTGTGGGACACTCTTACAGGACACTCTTGTGGGTCACTCGTATGGGGCACTCTTTTCGCGGACACTCTTGTGGGACACTCTTGTGGGACACTCTTGTAGGACACTCTTGTAGGACACTCATACGGGACACTCTTGTGGGGCACTCTATCTGGGAGACTCTTGTGGGACACTCTTGTGGGTCACTCTTGTAGGAAGCTCTTGCGGGACACTCTCGTGGGACACTCTTGTGGGACACTCTTATGGGACACTCTTGTGGGACACTCTTGTGGGACACTCTTATGGGACACTCTTGTGGGACACTCTTGTAGGACACTCTTGTGGGATACTCTTGTAGGACACTCTTGTGGGTCACTCTTACAGGACAATCTTGTGGGACACTCTTGTAGGAAACTCTTGTGGGATACTCTTGTAGGACACTCTTAAGGGACACTCTTGTGAGACACTCTTGTGGGACACTGTTGCGGGACACTCTTGTGGGACACTCTTGTGGGACACTCTTGTGGGACACTCTTGTGGGACACTCTTGTGGGACACTCTTGTAGGACACTCTTGTGGGACACTCTTGTGGGACACTCTTGTGGAACACTCTTGTAGGAAACTCTTGTGGGATACTCTTGCAGGACACTCTTGTGGGACACTCTTGTAGGACACTCTTGTGGGACACTCTTGTAGGGCACTCTTGTGGGACACTCTTACAGGAAACTCTTGTGGGACACTCTTGTAGGAAACTCTTGTGGGACACTCTTGTAGGACACTCTTGTGGGACACTCTTATAGGACACTCTTGTTGTGAGACACTCTTGTGGGACACGGTTGCGGGACACTCTTGTGGGACACTCTTGTGGGACACTCTTGTGGGACACTCATACGGGACACTCTTGCGGGACACTCTATCTGGGACGCTCTTGTAGGACACTCTTGTGGGTCACTCTTGTGGGTCACTCTTGTAGGAAGCTCTTGCGGGGCACTCTTTTGGGACACTCTTGATGCGCGACGCAAACGCACTTTCCACCAAGGCTGCGCAAATCTCAATGGCACTTCGACATCACGAACGTCGTGTCGCCACACGGTCTGCCCACACACTAGAAGCAGTCACGCGAGCATTTCGTACGAGACTTCCTCCAAAAGTCACGCTTAGAGGCTGCAAGACGAGCGTTTCGTACGAGACTTCCTCCAAAAGTCACAAGAAAAAGTCACACGTCAAGTCTCCAAAACGAGCGTTTCGTACGAGACTTCCTCAAAAACTCACATGTCAAAGTCTGCAAAACGAGCATTTCGTACGAGACTTCCTCCAAAAGCCAAGCGGAAACACCCATCGGAGCACACACATCACGCAGCCCTGCCAAGCAGTTTCGCGAGTCCAGCCCCTCCAAACAATACCCGCTCACACGCCAATCCCAATGTGACAGCGACATTCACCTCTACCACAACTCACGACCTCACGATTCCCTGCGCCTGCCACGAATCTTTCCGCATCCACACGTCTAACGCGCGCAAAGTACTGCGCCTGCCACGAAATGTCACCTCCGTCACACCTCGCAACCTCACGATTCCCTGCGCCTGCCACGAAAATCGCACTTCCACACCTCAAAATCCGCACAAAGTACTGCGCCTGCCACGAAAAGTGACAATATCATCTCATGTGAGCAACAAAATTTGCACCACACCACACGTTTGGAATGATTTCGACCCGTTCTGAGGACACTCCCATCCACCAAAATCGCCATTTCAGCTGAGACTTGTCACGAAAACAGAGCTTCGATGCCACACCCTGAAACGCAAATCCCAATGGCACGGCCACATCCAACCCCCAAAAACACGACTCTCCAAACGCTAACCCCAATGGAACTGCGCAGCAAACTGCGGATCTCACAAAACGCTGCGCCTGCGCAGTGAAATCCCCCAGCACACTTCAACATCTTACATTTCCACACGATTCCTCGCTACTTCACACGAATCTGACACGTCACGTTTTCATCCGAAACATTCCGAAACCCTCTCCAAAAGCTTCCCCCAATGGCAGCGCCTTAGCGTCCTACTGCGGACGGTTGCGAACATAGAAACAACGGGTCGCGAACAAGGCTCTACCCCCAGACCCCCAGAGTTAAACGAGAACCGCATTCGGGAAAACAGTATACTTGATTCTGCATATAACTTTACTGTAGCAACATCCCAGCGAAAATTGTCCAAGCAAGACCCCACCACCAAAGCAACTCACCAAAGCAAGATTCCAGCACCAAAGCAACTCACCAAAGCAAGATCCCAGCACCAAAGCAATGCTGGCGAAAGTCATCCAAGCAAGATCCCAGCACAACCATACCTGCAAACTGCAGATGTACTTCGAGCATACCTATTGTAGCATACATACAGCTGCAGCCATATAAGGTGCAAATGTCTCTGCAAATGTATTACCACCTCCCCAACAGCAGGTCTAGAAGACCACGCATGCAAGCTGCAGACTAGCTTATAGCATACCTATAGCACACATACCGATGCAGAAAAATATTGTAGCTTATAGCATACTTATAGGTATTGATGCAAATGTGTTATGCAAAAGGTTCCTACACAAGAACCAATCGCAACGCTCCCGGGAAAAAGGATGAAAAAGGTCCGTCTGCACATACAAGTATATAACGATGTCAAAGAATTGAACAAAAAGAAATAGTATCAAAGGCTTCGGCGGCTCATGGCCTCGGCTACCAGGCCGTGGCTGTGATACCTCGGCAAAGCACCGCGCAAAGGTGCCGCGGAATGCCGCCCCAAATACATTGCAAACAAATTGCACCGAAGGAGTGCATGGCTGCATAATGATTATAATTTCATGGGTGGAACAGGGTTTGAGGTAGAGGACTTTCACTTGTGTGTGTACTGTCTCCCTCCCTCCCTCCCTCCCTCTCTCTCTCTCTCTCTCTAAAGCCTAGCTGTCACGCAGTCGGCCACTTGTTCTACTATCAGATCAAGTGTACAGGTGGCGTTCTGGCCCTAGGAACCCGATCTAGCCCACCCATCCTGAACCTTCTCAAAAAATGTCTAGGCTTCCTAACATAAGTGGTGATGCTGGGTCTGGGTGCACCAGTAGTCACCTGGGGCTGCACGAATTGGAGATTTCAAGCTTGTGTGAAAACATTACTATAATATATATATATATATCAAGAATTCACCTGTCAGCAAGCGCAACTCTAAACCACCAAGGGACTGGCCTTAGCTCGTGTGCTCGAAGGGGCTGACCTGACACGGCATGCACACACACACACACACAGCTGGTGCATTCTCAGATCCGCTGCGCAGCCATCTGCAGAGTCTGCACCGCACCTTTGCTCCCCATCTCTGGAATCAGGACGGCCCTGGCTCTCCAGGCTCATTCGCCTCACTGCTCCTGCCAAGTTTCCCTCCAAGCAACGACCCCCAGTGTCAAAAGCATCTGCAGGACTCTCTCCAACTCATTCGGTACAAGCCCCCGAGTAGTGTGGCCTCGAGAAACTGGGCCTCGGTTGCAATGGTGATCAGCAAGTGGCAGCCGGGCATCCATGATGTCTCTTTCTGCAGAGTTCTAAGTGAACCTCCGTGGCTCGGGGGGCTCGTGATTGTAGGGACTCGTCCTGACAACTCAACAATGTTGCAAAAAGGCACTGGCTCATTGCCATTGTTTGATCCAAATCTAAAGCAATTTCATGTGCAGCAGGCTTGCAGCTGTGGCCAGCGGTCTGCATCTGTATCTACTGTAACTGTATGAATCTGCGTGTCTCAAAAAGATTCGGGATTAAACAGTCTGGTGTCACATGTCCTTGATTCTTGAAACCAAGTGAAAGTTCTACACAGAGTCTGAAATGTCTGAGATATGCGCCTGACGGCTGAGGGCGGGCAGTCACCTCAAGTCAACCATGTTTCCATTCACAAACCATGTCATGGAGGCACTGAGGCACTGATCAGTAAGAATCCGGCATTTCGCAGGCTCATGCCCAGTTGGCCATCATTTCCCATGTCCTCTTCCTCTGCCTTGTTCAGTCGACAAGTGCCTTTTTAGAAAAATGACAACCAGTCCCTACCAGTGGCCCATCCTCCTCGTCAGACACGGTGGAGAGCATCTTTTGCAGCAACCCACGGTTGGCACCTCTGGGGCTGCAATCAGTTTGTTCGCAGCTGTTCCAAAGCAAGTCTTGCCCAGCTGGTTTTGAGGATCCGGCAAGTGACAGTTCCCTCGGCTTCATCTTCCTAACAAATCAACTTGGACCGCAAGACACATTTGCAAATGCTACCAGCAATAGGCTTCCAGAAATCTGTTCTGTTGCGATCTGCAACTTTTTCTTCCCAACTGCCTCCTCCGTGGCTGTCTTGGCTACCTTGTCACCAACTTTAGCCTGACTGCAAGATGTCTGTGGTCTAATCCGCTGTGTATCATTGCCGCCCTTATGCCTGAAGTCGGACTGCCACAGCTGTGCAAAGGCATCTTTTCTCGCGTGGGTGCACGAGTACGGCACTCGTACGTTCACATTTAGGCCATCTGGACTCAATTGAAACCAAGTTGGATGCCCGAGAACGAGCAGGTGTGCTGAGCAGTTTCCTCAGGCACGTATCAGGAATCATGCATGAAATCTAGGCCCCGATTCGTGAATGTATCGCCATTCACTTCCATACCTTACAACCGAGAAAGCTGTTTTCTTTCATCATCCTTGCATCTTTCTGGACTTCCGTCACTTGAGGCGTTTCTGGCCCCTCAGAACCACTAACATGGAGGCCAGGGAGGCCACGAGAGTGAGAGCTCCCAGGCGCAACCGGCGCTCGGGCGCCGGACCACCGAGGCCCAGTGCCTCCTGTGCAGCGCTGAGCCAGGAGCGCTTGCCACAGTGCATCAAGGCCGTGAGCCACGCGCCAGTGGGCCCAGCCTTCACAGGTCTCTCTCAACTTGGCGATCAAAACAATCCCGGACAGGCCTTGTTCCATGTAGCAAGTCGAAGTTGCTCGAGGAAGAAAGAGGAAGGAAGACCAAGTAAGTTACACAATCAAGAAGAAAGGATAAAGAAAGCAAGAACCAGCTCATGACTACTACGTACACTTCCTGCAAGCATGATAATAAGGAAGAGAGACGAAGGAAGGCATGATAGAAACAAGCGGGCAGCATGTAGGCAAAAAAGCATCAAAAAGCATCTTCTACAAAAAAGACTCTGGAGTCAAACCCCAGCCCAGGCATTTGGTGAAAAGAGCAAGCCCAGTCACAGTCGCAACAATGACCGAAAGCAAGGAGAAAGGTGCCCCGCCCCGCCCGATTGCGAGACATGAATGGAGACAAACGGGAGTCAAACGTTTCGCGCACATGCAATAATTGTGATGGCAGAGCTGTGCTGATCCGTCTTTCATATTCATCCTGGTGTTTGCCTACCTGAAGAAATTGGTATCATTGAAAAAGCGTTCTGCAATCTGAACCCTGCCTCGGGCGCTGTTAGAATAAACGCGTCGCCTGCGGACAGCTGGCTTGAGTCTAAGCACACCTGCAAGGCCACGCTGCCATCTGCCACGGCAGCACCTCGTGCTCCACACTGCAAGAACATGTCATCCTGGATGCCCAGGACCTTCTTCCCCTTGATGATGCAAGGCACCAAGCCGGACAATCGCTTCCAAAGTTGCTCTGCAAGCCAAGGGTCCTTGGTGACAAGACGGCCAGAGGCGCCACCAGCCCGATTCTCAAGAGAGAACCCCCGCTGCTGAGCGCAGGCCAGAAGTGCTTGGCATTCAGGTGCGGTGAGAACACCTGTGACCTGACAGCCCTTGGACTTGCCTTTGGGAACTACAAGTGAGGCAAAAGCCTTGCGGCAGCCATCACTAATGGCCACCTTGTCCTGCTTGGCAGGGTCCAGCACCACCGGGCTGGACTGCGATGGCGAAGTGCCACCCGCTGTGTCGGTATCCCGGCCTCCAGACAGCAGGCCAGGAGACACTGGTTGCGCTGCATTGGCTGGTGCTCGGGATGGAGACCCTTTGGGTTTCACTTTTGCCTTTGCCTTGCCTTTCGGCATCACCATCGCACCGGCCCAAGCAGAGACTCCGGGAAAGAATTCTTGCGCATCAGGTTTCATGGGCGTTTGAGCCGTTTTTCTGTGTCCAGCTCCATTTGAAGCTGTCCAGGCTGGTGTGGTAATGTTTGGAAAGGGTGCAGCTGGACCCGGAAGTGGCATCAAAGGTGGTGGAAAAATGGGCGCTGGCTGGGCTGCTGTGGGGACAAACTCCGCAGCATCCTTGCGGAGAGTCTTGGGGAGAACTTCTGGAGTCTTCCAAGGTTTCCCCGGAATGAACTCGGTTGCTCCCTTGTTGAACTCTTTCTTGGATGGAGCTGAAGCTGCATTTTCCTCATTGCCCTCATTGGTCTTCTTGCTTCTTCTTCGGGTGCCATTCTCCTTCTCCTTCTCTCTTGATTCCTTCATCTCATGGTACGCCGATTCATCGACTTGTCGAATCAACTTGTAAATATAACCTCTCCAATTGGAAATACGCCTTCTCTGGACTCCACGAAGGGAGTTTTGAAGGATCTCGCATGCCTGCACACAAAAAAGAAACAAAGTTCAGTCACCCCAAAGCAAGTCAACGCAAAGAAAGAACCTATAGTCCCGGTGAGAAACACTCAACAAGCCCGGCCTCCATGGCACGGCCCTTCTCGTTCAAAGCATCCAAAAGGCAGAACACCTTTTTGTCAAAGTCACCGGGTTGAACTGGCGTTGTTTTGATCACCTTGGCATAGATGTGGATCCAACTTCGTTACTTAAAGGAGTGAGCTTATATGCGACCTGCGACCCAAGCTTTTTGCAACTAAAGACATGTGTCTGTATTTATATATATATATATGTGTGTGTGTGTGTGTTTTTATTTAGATGTATATATATATGTATGTAACCAGACTTGATAGGCACAATAACTCCGCCCGTTTCATTGCAGTTGCTCGTTTTTCACCATGCCTCCTGGATCCCACTCTTGTAGCTTTTGTCCTCGGCTGTTCTTAAAGGCAGGAAGAAAAACAAAGGAGAAAGGAAAAGAGTAGGTGAGAGGCAGGATCGACGCGCATGTGCATTGCAACCTCAAGTGCCAAAACAAAGCTTTAGTAGACTCTATATAGACCAAAAAAAAAAGTCTCCCATTGTGGAACCAGTAAATAATTAATAAACATCCATGAGCCATCCACCGTAGACGTAGAGTCTCCAAAAAACTCTTTACAATGTGGGGACTGTCATGCGATAGCTTTTCAGGCTTGATTCAATACTGAAAAAATCTCTTGTCATGCTTGACAGCACTTTGGTTTTGTCATCGGCTAGCGGCTAATACCAAGCCAAGGATCGGCCAGTTGATCTTCAAATTCATCACTGCCTTTGGACTTGCCCTTGACCATTGCGAATTGAGGGGGGAACCCAATGCGAACCGCTGCACAACTTCCCTCCGCTGGAACAAGTGCCTTGAGCCACCCAAACAAAGCCCAAAGCTGCGTCGAAGCTGAAGCTTAAACTTTCAAAAAACAGCAGTGCCCAACGCACAACCTCGCCCGCAACACATGCCATGTGTTCAACATGTGGTGCAAAATGCTTCAACCTCCTGAAGCACCAAGGGCCGTGCCTGCGAAGAATCCCCACGACCGCGCCCTGCCCAGCAGATGAGACATAAGAACGGCAAAACTCTGTCGTCTTGGCTTGTTCGTTTATAGATATATAACTCTGTACCGGCGTGCAATACTTTAATCATCAATCAAACGTTGAACAGCGCCCCCAAAAAAGACCCTGCTCGAGCCCGATTTTAACTAAGAACTCCGAAGCCTTTTGAAGCCGAAGACTTGGAAGCTGCTCCTCGCCTTGGTGTGCTGTGCTCATGGCAAAGCTGCTCCAGCGCGTCAGCATGTCAATGTGTAGTGTTGTGCTCATGTCGCTCATCTCACCCCTCCCCCTCCCCACGCCACCACCTCGTTTCTGACCAAAATGTCCAGCCCTTCAATGACTTAACGCCCCACCAAGAGAGCAAGCAAGTCTTGGGCAAGTTGACGCAGTACTCTCATCAACCTCCGCAGAAAGAATGACGAATGGTCCTGGCATGTGCAATTCAATACCTGCAGGCAGCCTTTGTCAATGCTCTGCTGGGAGCGTGGAGTGTTGAATCGTCTTCCAGCCAGGCATCACCGAGTGCAAAGGGCTCCCCCAGGCTAGGTAGCAGCCAGCGTTTGGAGTATATAATGTACATATATCTTTTTTTTTGAAACAGCATGGCTTCCTAGCTTCGAGGACCTCAGCACAGCCTCTGAAATTTTTGCAAGCATTTGATTGCTCGGCCCATGAACCACGTCAGCCGCAACTGCTGAAAATTTCTCCTTTCCCCACACCACCTCTCCCAAGGTCAGGGTCCCATCCACCCACAGCGGGGTGGAATTCATGCAACTGGCAAGAAGTGAGAGTGACATGTCAGCCATGTGGCGCAAGCATGCAAAATATTAAATACTGTATTCCCATTCATGCTTCAATGTGAAGAGGTTGTTCACGTGATGGCATCACAGCATGCAAGAGCTGCGGTCGACGTCTGATTCGGTAACCAAACCGTCCGATTCAGCAACTATGATTCGGTAACCAAAAGCGCTGATTCGGTAACCAAAAGCGCTGATTCGGTAACCAAAACCGCTGATTCGGTAACCAAAGTCCGCTGATTCGGTAACCAAAACCAGGAAAACAAAACCAAAAACACTTCCAAAAGAAGAAACAGATGACCCAGGTGGCGGTGGTAGTAGTAGTACTTTTATTAGTAGTAGTAGTCGTCGTCGTCGTAGTAGCAGTAGTAGCAGTAGTAGTAGTAGGGGTAGCGGTAGTGGTAGTGATAGTAGTGATAGTAGTGGTAGTAGTGGTAGTAGTGGCAGCAGTGGTGGTAGTAGTAGTAGTAGTCGTCGTCGTCGTGGTGGTGGTAGTAGTAGTAGTAGTGGTAATAGTAGTGGTAGTAGTAGTACATAGTAGTAGAAAATCCCATTTTGCATCCACATGGAACGTTATTATCTTGGCCATGGTTCCCCCCCCCACCCCCCCACCCCACACTCCTCCTGCCCTCCACCCCATTCCAACCATGACTTCGTTTCTGAATCGGCCGTTTTGGTTTCTGATTCGGCTCATTTGGTTTCTGAATCGTAGTTGCTGCATCGCCTGGTTTGGTTTCTGAATCGGGACTCGCTTGGTTTCTGAATCGGCTCGTTTGGGTTTCTGAATCGGACCATTTGGTTTCTGAATCGGAATGTTTTGGTTTCTTAATCGTAGTTGCTGAATCCGCTGTTTTGGTTTCTGAATCGGCTGTTTTGGTTTCTGAATCGTAGTTTCCTGATCGGTTGGTTTCTGAATCGGCTAATGAGGCTAATGTCTAAGAGCGGCATGTGTGCGGTAGTTTGTGATTCGGGCGCACCTGTAAATAATGCATCATTGTTGCATCTCCTGATTACATGCTGCCCAAGCAATCAAAAGCTTCAACCCTGGCAACCCGACCCAGCTGCAAATGCACGGGAGAACGCGGAGCTTGCCATCCGGGTTGTGCCATATGGCTAGTCCTCTAACCTTAAATTTACTTTAATTTCAATTCTAATAGCTTTTTGTTACTACTAGTAAGGCACCTGCTACTACTAGCGTGGCACCTGTTACTACTAGCGTGGCACCTGTTACTAGTAGTTGCACAATGTTGTATTCCATCCGTGTTCGGTGGGCCTCCTGAGTTTTGCAAAATGCATGCAGTCCCAGAGTTGTAGTCAGCACGCGTTTTCTTGGGGCGCAAGTGCGACGAACACTGTTACTAGGCTTGAAGGTGCTACTTCAAAGTTCTGCCTTTGATGCAAAGCTTGAGACCAATGTTCTTGCTCAGCATTCACCTCGGAAAGAGTTAGTCCTGAGATGTCCAGAGAGGAATTTGATCATGCTCAGCGCAGGCTTTTGACAAACAGGTTTCTTAACACTACTAGGGCTAGTGCGCCTGTGTCCAATGGAGTTCCGCACACAGGGTCGGTTTGTCCCAATGATCGACTCATGCAGCTCTGAAGTCTAAGGCTTTTTCAAACGTCGCAGTCGCACAATTCAACATGCGATCTGATTCAAGCTTTGCGTCATGTGCGGTTTAGTTGGGGCCGCATTTCGCCCTGACTGGCCGCACGTTGCAAGAACAGCGCCTAGCATTCCACTGCGAATGTGTTGCACCTCGCTAGTGGAACAAGGCTTCCAACCTGGACGCACCAGGTAGCCCCGGGGAGCCCTCACCTGCTCACCTGCACGGCCTCCACGGGAGCCCTTACCTTCACAAGGAACTCATTGATCTTCTGGAAGGTCTGCTGACAAATACTGCTCCTGCGTGCCCCCTGCGGCCCCCACGTCCTCTAAGCCTCGATCTTGCGTTGCGGCAGTCTGACTGCTTGCACGAAGAAAGCTGTGTAGCTGATTAGCATTTGCATCCCCCATGATCTCGCCTAGTTCCCCCAAGGAAAGATCTAACAGCCCAGCCAGATTGCCTGCTCTTCGTGCCAACACATGCATATTCTTTGGAGTGATGCCCGGAAGCTTCCGAAGCACTTCGAAGGCTGCTGAGTTTGATTGAGTCTTGTGGGCCCCCTCGGTGTCTTCTTCCAAATCTTCTGCATCAATTTGAGCTGCGGCTTTGGAGTCTGGCTGGTAGCGGCCCTCTTTCAGCTTCATGAAAAAATCAGCTGTAAATCGAGGTGACGGACTCCACATGATCCGGAGCTTTGGGAAATGCAACACCAGCAGCGACAACTTTCCCAGCAAGTCCTTGGTGCCCACTTCAATCTCTCTGCGTGCAATGGCATAGCTACTTTGAAGGATGAAGCCCTTGGCAGGATCAAATTCCACTAAGAGCATAGGATTTCCATAGTGTCGGCACATGTTCTGAGCCTGCTGATAGAGGCGGCCACTAGAAAGCGACTGCACCAAATCAACAATGGCCTTGCGTTCGACACAAATGTCTCGGGAGAGGATGTAGTCACCCACGGGGATAGTGACCTTCGCCCGAATGTGGCTTGACGGCACGGAAGATTACAATGCTAAGCCAAAGGATGCGAAAGAAGCGAGAAAATGATAAAGATGAAAGCAAACAAAGAAAGCCACCAGCAGCAGCAGCAGCAGCCAGAGAAGAAACGAAAACAAGTCCGTCGCAGGACAATACCATGAAACCTTAAGCGGGCAGTTCTGCGGTCAAGCAGCTGGTTCGACCACTAAGCCCCGCAAATGGAGCATGAAAGGCAAGGTGGAACGAAATTCTCGCCTCAGCTTTAAACTCTAAGACTCTAAGTCTTTTCAGCACAATGAGGTTCGATGTGTTGAAATCGCCCTACAAGAAACTGCAAAATCTATGGGCCTATGTTCTACCTTTCAAGGCACATATCCACAACGACGCGAGGTTTGGCCATTGCTTGCAATGCCCTGGCTCCTCCACCTCGCCTTGAAGATTCTGCAGGGGTAGCTTCAACTGGCAAATCAACTCGCCACGTCATGTGTTGCCGAAATTTAATGATAGAATCAATTCCCTGGCTTTCGGACACCAAGCTCTGCTGGTAACGATGATTCTCGATAGAATCATCAAATGCCAAGAGGTAAACATGTAAAGGCGAAATGTCACCACCAAGCAGTGGCACTTCTTCCTGGCTAGCCTCAGGCTCTAGTTTCACGCAGGCACTGGCGCGCCAGTGCAGGGTGGCATAGTACACTTCCACCGCACGGATGGCATGCAAACTAGGTTCGAAAACAACTACGGCATGTGGCTGCATTTCCTCCATGTGAACTTCCAGCTGGCCTTCAGCATCTTCTGTTACAACGTCAATTCTGGGATGGCAAGGTCTCCCATCTGGCAGTTCTCGAAGGCGTAAAGCACCACCATCGGGCCGGATCTTCTCCAGCTCTTGGGCAGCCGCATCAGCCTCCTGAGCCATCAAGGCTCCCTCCCTCACGATGCTCAATCCAGACTCTTGGCGCAGTCGAGGTGCACGATCTCGGAAGTAGGATCCCAGATTGTCCAGTAGCGTCGCTTCAGCGCCGCGGTGCAGAAATGTGGAAAGCTGGCGTCTCGAGCGGTCGTCCGGGGCTATGATGAGGATCCGCGGCTCCAACACTTCACTTGCACTTGGTGGCACGGTGCGCCGCTTTTTGTTCTTCACTGTCTTGACCCCTACAATCTCGACGTCACTATCAGACTCGTCAATCAATGTCTCCATATCGCTGTGCGGGAAGTTGTTTTCATCCCCAACTCCGCTAGCAGCTGTCTTCTCAAACAACTTTTCTGCAGCTGCCACTTTAGATATTGTCCGATCAATGGCATCCAAGATTTTGCTCCACTTCGCATGCGGTTCCAACTTTTTTCTCAAGAACGGTGTGGAATCATGTTGGCTTCTGCAAATTTCATACACACGCCCTTTTGCAAAAGCAAGCATTGCCTGCGCATCAGGGCTATGTAGCCAAACAGGTGCTGTTTGAGCCTCCTTGCCACACAAGGTGTCCAACAGGCGCAGGAAGTCTACAGCGTCCCCACGCAGCAACTCAGTCAAGAGCCGTCGGACTCTGTTGAGGTCGTTCACCAGGCGCCTGGCAAATGGCCCAAGATTTTGCCACGCTGGATCCAAGACTTGCCGGAGTTCCACCTCGAAAGCTGCTGAGACTGAATCTTTCGCATCCAACGTGGACAAGCCGAGCTCTAGATTAGGATCCTTTTTGAGTTCTGCCAATGTTGACTGCACAATGTTGAGGATGTGCCGCTGGAGTTCTAGCATCTGCTTTGGAAGCTCCAGTGTGATTTGGACCACTTCTGGCTGACTCTCCTGCTTCAAACTATTCTGAACTTCCTTTCGTATTCGCGGCCAAACTTCCAGGTCATTGAGAAAACAACGTTGCATCACTTTCTCAAGTTGAACATGACTTCGAGTAAAGGAATCTGGCATGTCAGAGATTGCACGGATGAACCCGCGCGTATTTCTCAAACGGAAGAGCCGAAGGACAAAAGCATCAGCAGAAAGTTCAGCAACCTGATGGGCATGATTCACGAATACTCCGTCGATGCTTTCTGGATTCAAGCGGCCGGATAGTATATCCGGAACAAGCAATCGTGCATTTGCAATAAAGCCCCCTCCACAGGCAAAGGCAGCAGCACGGTCTTTTGTGCCAAAGTCGGCACCTATCACGGACAAGCTGGACACCAATCCTGGTGGATGCCGGCACTACAAGCAAATCTCAACAGAAGAACAAGTATATATAAAACCAAGTGGTCCAATACAATTATTGAATGCCAACTTGTGTTGCGTTTTTGTGCTTCGCGTCGCCCTACCCAAAAACAAAGTTTTTGTTGAGGACCCTTGCGCAAGCGCACACCCAGTCGCATAATTCAGACAAGCATTTGCAAGCACCTGCCTGCCTGCCCACAGTGGGTCTTCAGACGCGCGCTTTGCCAGGAGCTCAGCTTCTTCCTGGGCCCGCGATCGAAACACCCCGAACTCGTAAAGCAATCTTAATGCTCGGCACTTATTTCGACGAGTTCCTGCGATGTGTTCAGCAGAAAAATCAAAGGTGGAGCTTGTTTGTCTGCACAGCCCGCCAACACTTTCCGGAAGGCTTCCAATACCACTTTCCTTGCAATGATACAGGGCAAAGGGCCTGATTCCGTTTTGCAATCTATGATTCAACCCATCGATTTCGACCCGCCAATGGCAACCTAGCCCTTGCCTCCAAACGACTGAATTCCAAGGCCTTGCCCAAGAACAGCCAGACAAGCTTGTGATCGCAGCAAGCCTTCCACAGCACCATGGTGGTATGACAGCATCATTGCGCAAACACGTCGATCATGTGGCTTCTTTCATTCCAAACCCACATTGCCACCGCTGCAGCGATTCTGTGGCCACGACTACTTCCCATGTATCTATTTGAAAGTGTTCTTCGTGCAGCTTGCCCAATCATCAGCACCGAATGAAATCGAAATGCCAAAGCCAAACGCTGCAACTGTTCAATCGTCCAACTACCCGTGCGAGAACCCAGCAACAAATTCCACAATCTTTACTTAATACACATCTCGCATCAAGGCAATTCTCCATGTGAATGGAGTCATCAAACTAGAACCGACAAAGTTTGTGTTTAGCAACGTGCCCCCGGGTAAGGGATCAAAAAAAATAAAAAGGTAAGCCAAAAAAATTAAAAGGGAAGCCAAAAAAATATTCAACGGGGATCCCCCAAAAAGAAAAACATAAAAAGGGAATCAAGAAAGAAATATTCTATATAGCCCACTGAGGATGGTTGGGGTTGAGCATCGGCTCAAAAAGTCGTTACATTCCATCACTACGTGAAAAGCTGCGGGGCTATTACACTTGAATGCTCACGCATGGTCCGGCCAAAGAAGGAGGACAATCTGCAAATGCGACGCGCGACCCTTTACATACAGTAGTTAGTTTTTGTGGCAGGCGCGGTGCAAGAGTGCAGATTTCGTGGTGCTGGAGGGGGGCAAAGCGAACCAAACGTTAAAACAAAGCACCACAAAAGAAATCAGTAGAAACTATGTACCCTATCGCCCTTTCAGTGAAAGGAATCTAAAAGTGCACAAAAGGACCTAGGGCAACCGAAGCCACAAGCATTGTACGTTTGCAGGAGAACTGCGGCCAATAAGCTACAAGCGAAAGGATCAAAGGCATCAAAAAGCATCAGCCGGACCAGGACCAAAGGACCAGGGGGCCAAAGGGCCTGTGGACCAGAGGACCAAGGGACCAAGGGACCAGGGGACCAAAGGACCGGTGGACCAGCGGACTAAAGGACCAGAGGACCAGAGGACCCGCAGACCACAGGGCCAGGAGCAGAAGAGGCCTATCAAGGAATATTTGTGTTGATCCTTTATTGTGTTTGATCCTCTTTTTGTTTTTTGTTTGATGCTCTTTCTGTTTTTGTTGTTGATCTAGATGCCCGCGCCCACCCAAAAAAATAGAAATAAGAGACATGTGGTGGAAGAGGGTAATACGGTTCATTGGTACTGTGAGCATGGCTTTGAACACAAGCCCGAGAAAGAAGGAAAGAAAATGAATGGCATCACTTGATTTTGATGGCATCACTTTGGTGAAAATGAATGTGCATGAATCTGTCCAGCCGCGGTGGCCATGGTGCTTTGTTCGGGTGAACCTGATTAACTGTTACAGGAATTGCTGCTTGCTCAAACTCGCCAATTGAAAATGACACATGAACTGTTTTGGACCCGCTTGCCGACGCCATGGTACCAAGCCACTGTTATGATTTCGTGGGTGGACTTGTGTTTTGTGTCACCACCTCTTTCAAAAGGTGACGAAATTTAGACAAGGGGAGGTCGGGGAAGAAGACACAAACAATAAAACACTGGTGTGTATGCCTGGATTGTGTCAAATACGGTTCTTTTCCTTTTCGACCCAAGCTCTTCTTCAGCAAGCTGCAGGCGTCTTTGTCAATGCCGCCCATGCACTAGTGCAAAATCATTTTTGCATGTACCGACCAACAGGGGATAGAACTGCACAATCCCAACATCTGAACCTGGGAGCTGTGCAGTAGCAGTTGAGGACAAAGCCCATCACAAACCCATGCTCCACAAGAGCAAAGGTCACTCGAAAAAGATTCCTTGCATCCAATATTTTTTGGAACCTAAGATTACTAAGATGTACAAAAGATTTCCTGTTTCCTTCATCTACAAAGCAAGCTTCCCGCTTCAAAGCATACTTGGGTTTTTCAGGTTTACTAAAACACAACTTCCGTATCCTCTGTCACAACCACGCTGAGTACAAAGGTGTGAAAAGAAGAGTTCAAAAAATCAATCAATACTAATCAAGGGTTATTTCCTTTACGACCAATGTCTCCACAAGTTCTGTTCTCAGAAACAACTCTATAGTTTAAAAAAATGTCTGCGCATATCGAAGTACCGTATTAACTTATTAACTGACTCCTGATTCAATTCCTCCCCAGGGCCTGTGTTCACTGACCCCCTTTGCAAAGAATTAACTCTTGACCTAGCCAGCGGAAACCTTTGGTTGCTTCAGTAATTGGAGGAACCCAGAAAAGAGCTGGCTTCCAATGTTTTGGCACTCTTCCCCCTTCTTGTCCGCGAAAGTCAGGAACGGCCTGCCTGCCTGCGAACCTGCGGGAGGCCACAGGGGCGTGTAACGATGTGTAACGATTGCAGTGGAAACCAAAAACACTGCCCTTTCGTAGCTGCCACGATCGAAGGAATGAGTGAGTTGCAGGGCTTGTATTCCTGGACCTTTTATGGAGCAAGTTTCGGTCGTTTTGTTTGTCATCGAACATGCAGTTTCAGTTTCATTTCAAGAGCGGCCCTCCATCTGTCAAAAATTGCAGTTTGGCCAACGACGTATACCACAGTCACTGTTTCCAAACAAGGGTCAGCGCAGTGAACGTGTGTCGCTTTTATTGATCCGCTTTCGGGTGAGAGTTTTTAGATTCGCACAGGGTCAGCCGGCGGTGGCCCAGGGACACTTGTCAATAAACCTGAACATGATGTCAGAAAGCTCTTGCCCACTGTCCCACTGCCCAAAGTGGTGCAGACTGTCTCGCCGCCAACGGCAGCAAGTCTGGCGAAGGCTTGAAGGCAATTAAAGCACGTGGAACCCATTGCGGAGGGCCCACCCAATGTTCAACCTGAAGCCGCGCCGAATGATCATGCGAGCGGTTGAGTGGAGGACATGCCAAGGTTTGGGGACCAAATACCTTTTGAAGAGGCTTGGATCCAGTTGATATTTGTTGAAACATCAAAAGTATGCCTCCTTGGATTTTTGGGGTTCTGTCACATTCCATGATCGAGTCATCGATATAGTCCTGTTCACTTGAGGTGTGTTCATGAGCTCACGACCGTGTATCCTCCAGGCTCCAGTTTGCGAGTCGAAAACCGCTGGGTGTTGCGCTACATTGGGCGACTTCATCTACAAGGCGGGTGAGTTCAAGATGGCCTGGTTTTTAGGATCTTGTGTGTTGTGGGCTTAGCGTGCGTTAGCAGCCCTTTTGGTGTTGGCAGAACAGATAAAGCATACAGAATACAAAACCCACCATTTCGAGATCAAAAGCAGACATTTTCACGTGTACAAGTTGGTTTTGGGTGAGCGATCACCCATCCAATTCGCAAAACAAAAGGTTAGAACATGTTAGAAGCAGTCCGCCAGAGCTCATTTATTTAGAAGAGCCCCATTCGGCCCATTCGGTGGTCCAGATTCCCAGGAACTGGAGGCTACTGCATTTCGAGCCTTTCGAGGACGATCAAGAGCTGCAAAAGCGATTTCGTGTGTTCTGGGCAAGTGGTGTGCAGTGTTTGGGTGAGTGGAAGCAAGGACAACAAGTTGTCTGGACAGAAGACGGAGGACGTTTGACATTTGATGGACTTATACAATGGCAGAGTATGCACTGGAAGCTTTCACAGCGTTCATTGCAGCAGCTTCTGCAGGTACAACAGAACCAACAATGCGACAAACATGTCAAGCAGTTCATCAAGGCTGCTGACCAAAGGACGGCAGTGCTGCTGGAAACCATCAACAAGAAACCCGATGAGAACTACGAAGCCTCGGAGATGGACGGAGATACCATGGTTTTGAGTGTGAAGTTCTATGGGGCGCTGCTTTCATACATGAAGAACCGACCTCTTTCGTTGATCAATCGGTGACTTCAACGGCTTCAAGGATTGGCCCTGTTGACACAATTGAGCAGGGTTGAATTCCCTTCGAACAAAACAATAGCAGAACAGATTCCTGCTTACGAGACGCTGGTGGGAGAGTGTGGGAGGGTTTCTGGATATCAATTTCCCAGGGATTCTATGCTGGCGGCCATCTGCATCTTGCAGGCATTGCCAGTTGCTTTGAGGACACAGGTCCAGATGCAAATTACAGAGGGTACCAGATACGAAAAATTGAGCCAGAAGATTCTGCACCTTGAAAACATCACAGCACGATGAGATTCTACAAATTCCTTGCAGGTGCCAGTACGGCAATCCGACGAGGCGGTGCCCATGGAGGTTGATGTCGTCTCCAAGGGCGAGAAAGGAAAAGGTAGGAGAATGGCAAAGGAAAAAATGATTGCAAAAGCAAGGGTTCCTCGTTCAAAGGAGTCGAAGGCAAGTATGACGAAGGAAAGTCCAAAGGAAAGGACAAAGGCAAGGATGGCAAAGGCAAGCACAACAGAGCCACATGCCACAATTGTGAGAAGAAGGGCGACATGGCCACAGAATTTTGGGTCCAAAGCGAGTTCAACAAGTGCAGGCCTCAGATGATACTCAGTCCACCGCAGGTCAGGGTGCGTCAGCGACTTCAAGCGCAAGCTACTGCGGTCAGACGTGTGAGGCCTTTGACACCGCCAGATGCCCCACAGACAGAAGTGTTCGATATGACAGAACATGATGATGATGATGATGATGATGATGATGATGATGATGATGATGAAGAAGGTGAAGGTGAAGATGAAGATGAAGATGAAGATGCAGATGAAGATGAAGATGAAGATGAAAATGATGAGGCTATGGCGAAGTGAGTCGGGTATGGATGTTGACCCAGACCAATGAGACGCCAAAGAGCTATGAGCCATCAGATAGATGATGACGAATGGATGATGGAGGAGTACATCTTCCACGCGTTTGAAGAGGAGCATGACAGCTGGGTTCTATGGTCTTGATCACCCTGGACTGAGGCGCTGGTATCTCGGTGCTGCCCATCAGCCAGGGGTATGCAAATGTTGAAGAGTTGGGTGGAAAAAGAAAAGGTGAAGATGATTGATGCTCAAGGCAAGGTGATTGCCTCAGCAGGTGTGACAAAGCTCACAGTTCGAAGATCAGACGAGTGCCTCATACAGATTCACGAGCAGTTAGCACTTGGCCAGGACCATTGCTTGTGCAGGGAAATTCCTTGCCAGAGGCCATAGACCACGAGGACTGTGGATTGCGTCTCAGGAATCCAAGGACGGAGACATTGATTCATCCACCTGAGGGCCAAGATTGAGATGGTGAGCATTTGCAAGGTTGACGAGGATGCACCCC